GTAAATCCATGTAAGAAGGAAAAACCCGTAGCTTATTCATCAATTTTTCTTCCTAATAAAAATAACCCTCAGAATCTGAATATTGTCAGGCTGCTTATCTCAAAAGGAGTAATATAATTTTGTTGTAAGATCTGTCTATTTCAGTGCTCCACAAATATTAAATATCCCCTCTGTGAATGGGAGTGGGGGCTGTTACCATTTAGGCAACTCAGGATGTATAATCTATAACCACCATGAAGGTCCATGTAATTCAGCTGACATCTGACTGCTCAACTAGACCACATGCTGGTGAATTTTAAACAAGGTGTTACAGTTTCTCTGGTAAGTCAGCAGAAGTCTTGCTGTCCTTCATCATGAGAGGCCTCAGCAAGAACAAAATACTTCCTAGTGTGTTGTTGCATCTGGCTTTTCTGCCCTTTAATGTCAGTGGGATGACCTGCATTACAACATCACTCACTAAGAGCAAGAGTGATTTCTAGAATCTAACATAAAATTTACATTTTGGTAGGAGGTGGGAATAAGGCCATTACTGACAGGATATTGACACACTATTGACAGTGTGTGAATATATAAAAATCAATAAATAGTGTATTTCAGTTATTAAGTGATTCTTATAGTGCTTAAAATTAAAGCATCTCAATAGCAGATCAGCAATGATTGTAAACACAGTAAGAATAGTCTAAAGAGTTTCCAAATAATCAAACAATAGAAAGTAGAATGCACTATTAGTGGTGAAAGGTGAATTACATTTGTATTTTTAGTTGAAATAGTAATAAAGTAATAGAAAGATTTTAAAATGAAATTGATAGAATGATAATACGTACATTTAAATTTTAAAAGTTGGCTTTCTTGTACAGTTTATCGTAACAAAACCATATAAAACTACCATTGCAAAGTAATTTGGTGTACAGGCTTGCTGGTTCTAGTTCTGAAATTTATATCCAAGACAGAAGAGTTTGAAGAATGTCACAATGCAATCAATGTCTGCTTCATTTTCCACACTATTTCTATTTACATTCTCTTTAAAGACAGAGAGAATACAGTTTCTAAATTAGTCCTAGCTAAAAAAGTCTTTCTGAGCTTAGAAAGAATATATTCTAACAAATATATGCTCTCTTTAGTGTTCATTCATGATAACTGTACTTAAGGAAAAAATGCACATTTGGCCTGGGGAAATAAAGATGTTTTGAATAGACTAAGTATGCAGACTGTCTGCCATAAATGGAATAGTAATTAGAAGAAGAGATTATTAATGCCACTAGTATTTATGACCTAATCCACAATTCTTGTTTCATTAAGCTCTGTCAGCCTAAGGATATGTGACCTGATACTCATCTCTCTTGTGTCAGTCTTACACTGGAGTTGCTTCACTGACTCCTCTAAAGTCGCTCTTGACTTACACATGAAGGCAAACTGGAAGCAGGATCAAGGCACTCTGCTCAATTTAAAACTCCTTTTTTCCTCAGCCTGGTGGCACAGACAGTGCTATAAATCATGAGGAGCTGAGATGAAAGCAATTGGGCAACAATAGTGTGAAATACGCACTTGATTAAAATTATGTCCTCTGTGCCTAGACGTTGAGTAGGGCAGAACTTCGGCATAGGCAGCACTTTACCCAAAGCAAGTGGGAGACAGCCTACTCAAGGTAACACAGTTCTGTCTAAAGTGGTTTGAAAACATAATTCATGCTCCAACCAAAGTATTAATTATGTTGCTTAATAAAGTTTTAGCTACTTTCATGCTTCCACTAGCTGTATTGGACTTTCTGTTTTAAAAACTTGACCTGTCTGCCACGTTGTTTCCATTTATCCCAGCAGAGTCAAACAAGGAGAACGCCAGAATAATGAAAAAGGTTTTATTTAGCTGTTTTTTTTCTCATTATTTTTCTTCATTATTATTTTTGAGTTTTCTTTACTAAAATGAAAGACAAGAAATCTCTTTCCCTCCCTTTCCTCATCTTTGGCTGGTGAGGAATGGGATTGTTCATGAGGAGGATTCCCACACATGGGCAAATAGTCAGATCTCTCACAGCAGGGCAGCAGGTTGCTATCCCACCCCTGGCCAAAAGTCCCCACAGCCAGCATGTTAGGGACATGCTAAAAGGCAATGTCTACAACACCAGTTATTCTCACTTGATCTTTCGGCACTGCTGCCAACATGCAACTCCTGTGCTAGGCTGAGTTTTGATATGTTACCTGAGTTATGACCAGACCTTGGCAGAGCCATCCGGAAGCAGCTTTCTAATGGCAAACATTTCTTTGCAACACTGTCTGCCAAGCCTAGTAGAGGGTGTGTTTTTAATGTTTTGGTTTGGTTTTTTTGAGAAGTTAAAACAGAAGTTCCATTTTTCATTGCCTGTGTATTCAGTTTGTAGACAGAGAACGGCAACGTGAGTATTTTTCTTAACTTAAAGTCCTTAATTTCTAAAAACATCTGGCAGCAAGTCCTAAACTGATGACAAAATTTTCGTCAATCTGTTAAAATCAATGAAAATGCATCAGTTTTCAGAAGCGGAAAACTTAGCTGAGAATATGAGTTAGGTATAATATACATATTAATAGTGAGTAGATTCTCCAAAAGGTTTTCCTCATCAGTTCCAACTTGAGGGTTTTTATATATTTTTTAAAATCTATTTATCTATTTTTCTTTAGGACTTGGCCTTTCATTATCAAGAGTCCTAAGCAATACAAAAACCTGTCTTTTATGGATGCAATGAACAAATTCAAATGGTCCAGATCGGAGGGTGTCTCCTATAATGAACTTGTGCTTAAACTACCAGTGAACGTGAGATGTTCAAAAACAGATAATGCAGAATGGTCGGTAAGTCTAAGTGTTGAAAAGGAGCCAACAATGCCATGGAACAAATGAGATTTACTGTGCTTCATTGCATATGAATAAGTACCTGGTTATACGTCTTCAGAATGTTTACATGGCCATGTTACATTTACATACAGTAACAAATGATGAGAATGTTTTATCAATGCTTTCACCTAACTCGAGTTCTAGAAGTGTTTAAAAAGTATAGAAAAGTTGGAGCTTTGATCAGCACTTGGGATCAGTAATAGGAGTATGGAGTCTTTCAGTGTGCCTGGGACTGATCAGAGAGTAACCATATGTGTCCAGATTAGGTGACCAAGTTAGAAAGCTGTTTTCCCTTGGCTGTCTCTGTTGTCGTGGACTTTCATTAGGGTCTTAGAATCATAGAATCATGAAGGTTGGAAAAGACCTCTAAGACCACCAAGTCCAACCATCAGCCCAACACCACCATGCCCACTAAACCATGTCCCGAAGTGCCCTATCTACAAGTTTTTTGAACACCTCCAGGGATGGTGACTCCACCACTTCCCTGGGCAGCCTGTTACAAAGTTTGACCACTCTTTCAGTAAAGAATTTTTTCCTAATATCCAATCGAAACCTCCACTAGTGCATCTTGAGACCCTTTCCTCTCATTCTGTCGTCTTGTGATGGATGATTCAAAATCCCTAAATCAGGTTTCTTCTCTGAGTCACTCTGCAGGGTGAAGCTTATTGACTGCATAAGGAAGCTACAAGAATCTATCTTCTTAACTCAGGCATCTAGACTACCTGAAGTTATACGAGTACTCGTGCAAAGTCTCTTGCTTTTTTGTTGGTCTTGTGTCTTAGAGATGTCTATAGTATTAGGCCAAAAAAAGTACATTTGGACTGTCTGTTTCCTTTGTACACCTTTGGAAGATTTTGTCTTCTATAGTTTTCCTTTCTCAACTCTCTTCATGAAAAAAACCGTAAGATAAAAATAATCCCCCAGTAAGTTATTATTTATTCTAAATGTCTACTGGTATTTTAACAGGACTGCTGGGAAAAGCTGTCATGTTTAGTGTTGATGTGTGTTTATAAAGAGCTACTAGTGCATGTAGTATCATTCCTGAAGGACATGCTGAAGAATATGTATTGCTCCTTGAACTCCTTTACAGAGTCCAACTTCAAGACTCCTTTTTTGAGCTTTTCTGCTCAGAAGGGGAGATTGTCTTATTGTACTTACTGGCTTATCTTCTACCATGATTTTAGGCCAGCCTAACAGAGCTGATAAGAAATACTACTGAATAAATACTTCCTAGGAAAAGCCTTTTGCCTCATTCTCCTCACTCTGCAAAACAGCCGACACTGCCTCATAGCAGGTCACAGTTCTTTCAGGTGGTGGAGAAATTGCCCTTCCTGAAGTGGTGTTCTTAGGTCTTTACGACATTGATCAGACTTTTCTGCCCATGGGATGTCAATGAAATAGTGTGCTATAACTAATCAAAGATATTCTGTTATTTATTTGTCCCACTGCAGACCTGCGAAAAGTAGTTATTGACAGTACATGTGACACTATTCACCAGTTTTGGTTAAACTTCTCGACCTTTGCAACTGCTGGCCACTGTCTCACTGATTGTTTGTCAGAGGACAAATTAAGATGATGAAAAGCACACAGAAATTTTATCAAGAGGGGACAGGCTTTTTTTTTTTTAAATGCTATGCTTTCTGGAAAATGCTGTTTCCCTTTACCTTACAGGATAAAGGAACAATACTTATGACTTAAAGAACATAGTCTTTAAGAGTGAGCTCACTGGAACTGAGAGTGCTTAGTTCTTCCTATTAATCAGTTTCCTATTTCAAATGAGTAGGGCTTATTCATCAAAGCTAAGATTAAGACTCTTTCCTTTCCCTTCCCTTATTAGTGATGTTACGTTAAATTTGCCATCCTCATCAAAATCAAGAACAGATTTAACCTGAATGGCTGAACAATAACTGAGTTGTTACAAGAAGGAAAAACTTGAAACAGAGGAAGTGAGTGGAAAATACCTTCATCCTTCTGTAGGGATGGTCCTTCGATCAGTTTTAGCTTTGTGTTGTGTTTGCTAAGATTAAGTCAATATTTAGATTTTTTTTTTTCTGCAGTGCAGGGTAATTGCAACATGGAAAAAACCTAAAGCAAGCACATGCTGTGCAGGTGGGCATTCAAACTTTCAAAAATGTTTGGGCCTAAGAGCTTGCTTTTTGCAGACCTTCATTTCTTTAACATGTAGGGAATACATTTAGGAAAAGCATAGCCAAGCAGTGTATGCAAATCTCTCTAGTTTCATGTCAAAACCGTGACAGGCAGGTAGTTATGTCCTACTCCATAAAAATGCACTGAGTTCTAAGGGAAGAGTAAAAAAATGCTCAATTTGTAGAGATATGATACTGCTGTAGGTGACCTTGCTTGAGCAGGGATTTTGGACCAGAAGACCTCCAGAGATCCCTTCCAATCTCAACCATTCTTAGATTCCATGAAATATGTACACTATTATCTGCCTTGTACATGCAAGTGTAAGCCTTTTATGTACAAATGAATGTGTTCAAACATCATCCAATATCCCTATAGCACTGTAACACTGTAAAATTCTATTTTTATCTGCCAGAAAGATGAAAACAGAAGCCAAACCAACCGAACAATCCCGCAAAGTAAAATAGCGTCAAACAAATCAACCAACAAAAGCCTAACCTTGATTTACTGGAGAGGATGCCAGTGGTACAGCTGGTCCTGAGCTGAGCACAATGGATGTGCACATTGGCTGTTCATTTGGTGTGCAATATATTAATATTTTTACTGAGCTTGATGTCTCCATAGTGAGATTCACAACCCCAGTACAAAACTAACAATAGATTTTCATGCAAGCTGCCAACTAGTTAGAGAGCAAGATACAGATTTCTAACCTTATGTGACCAAACCCTGATCATTTTTTATTATTTTAATTGCAGATCCAAGGGATGACAGCTTTACCCCCTGAAATAGAGAGGCCATACAAGACAGAACCAGTAATATGCAGCTCATCTTCCTGTTTACGTTGCAGTTTATTTCTCACCCTGTTGTTTGTTGTACATGTCACAGCCAGTACCATAGCAAACATTGGGCCCTTTGGACAATAATTTTTATTCATTTGTGTTCTATATGCCATGCAAGTTCTGATGTATTTGCACTGTTGCTATTGTAGATTTATTTTTTTACATGTTAATAAACTAAATTTGCCAGTTCAAAATAAAATGTGTACTTTCTCTGAAGACTGTGGCTTTTTTGGTTTTCAATGTAAAGTATGTATAAAACACAGTAGGTACACTGGCACGTTGCGTATTGAAATCTTTTCCTGTACCGTTTTGTCACACTTTGTCCTGGCTCTTTCACATGGTGTTTTCGAAATCAACTATGTATATGGGTAAAATTAATAAACTAAAAGCAGCTTAGTTAACCACATTCAACCTGGTGTGTGCTGTATTATTTTGTCTTGGTTCTTGACATCTGCAGGTTACGCAATTGTTGCTGTGTGGACAGGTCTTGCAAGGATGTATTTGGGCACTGACATGTCTCCCTGACACATGCTGTAAAGCCAGAGGAAGGATTCATTCAGGGAGGATATTTCTGGGAGCAGCACACTGCAAACTGACTCAACTCCTGAGAGAAGTGGGCAGTATGGGTGTGAAAGGGATGAAACCGCAGGCAGAACCCCAAATCTCCCCATAGTGATTCCTGCACGAGTCCTCCAATTTGGCAGGGATTTATTTTCCCCAGTCCCTGGCAATTCATTGTGTTTCATTTATCTTAAGGTATTTGTGCAGCGAGTAAAGCTTTGGCAAGGAGTAGATTTGATATGGACAGCAGTAGCAATAAAGGTCTGTCTCGCAGCCAGGGACCCAGAGCACAAGGAGCTATTAGCACATGCTGAGCATCAAAATAGATCAAACTGTTGATTTAGATGTTATTTTTGTCTCCTGTGTACAATTTTATATTTATTTGGAAATCTGCAACTTTTCAATTCAGATGGTGTTGGGCAGGGAAGATTCCCAAAAGATGCCTAAGTTATTACTCCCCAATGAAATTAAGTAATGCAGTAGAAAAGGGCTTTGAGCATTCAAAACCCCCCTTTTTTTTCATAGCCACACTGCTGTTACAGTAAGCTATAATTTTGGTTGCACAAACTTTGCTGGGGTACAGCTATAAAAGTAAGTTGTTTTGGATGTTGAGTGCTTCCCTGACCACTGACACCTGTGCTACAACTAATCTCTGTAGACTTAGTTACATACAGACTTTGTTGTACACATTTTATGTCATTGAGCACTCTTGTGCAATGTAGTGAGTCCAGAGCAGATCAAGAACCTGACTGAGCTGAGATAAACTGGGTTTCTGAACATTTTTGTTCATTGATTGTTAATGACTGATACCTGTCCATGCACCTCTTAATGAGGGCAGGCTGCAAAGAAATATCACATTAGAAGGAAAATAAGGAGAGGATTTGGGAATTGTCTTCTCTGTATTTAAGAAGTGAGAAGGAAAGCATCACAAAGGTGGTAAGGCTCAAAATGACAATGTGTGTGACAATCAACACGGAAGAGAGGCACTGAAGCAGCTAATGCCTCAAGTAGAGATGAAAGAATTAATCAAGTATAGATTAATTTTCTAGGAGCTATAACAATCTCATTACAAAATTTATGCATAAAGGGAGTTTAAAATGAGCCGTGAAGACAGAGGTTCACAGGGCCTACTAAATCCTCCTGATGCTGCAGTCTGCACTTGGCATAAAAGCAACTTCCACCAAATCCTGGGAAATTTCTTTGCCATTGTTTGGCAGCTGCTTGCTCTAGATATACCTGGACAGTGGTATGTTCTGCCATTCTTCCCACTGGTGCTGGATAAGGTAAGGAAAAGGTGCATGCCAAATAGTGTGTGGATGTTTTTGGTCAAACCCTGAAGTTTCAATAAAGAATGTAATTATTTATTAGGTGTCTCCTTCCTACCAGCAGAAGAACTATGCTTTTCTGTTTCATGTTCCTGAATAGAACTGGTTGAAAAATTAAAAACAAGTAATGATTACGGTGAATTATAAGCAGAAAAGTCTTCCAAGTGATTATTCGTACAGATCTGTTCTGAATGTGAAAAGCTGGGGCATCCTCCAGATACCAGAGAGTCCAGGTTGCATCTTATTGTAAAAGCAGTCAGAAGGAGCCTTGCCCTTTCTTACACTTAAACCCATCCCTAAAGTGTGCATGTTTGACATTTTTTTGTCAAGGAGCAGCAGGAAAAATAAAAGGGAATTAAATGAAAGAAGAGCGTTTGTGTTGGACAGGGAAGCCCTTTCAGATGCAATGCTGTCTCTCATTTACTAACAGGCATGGGCTACTGGCATCAGTCCTATGTTGACTTGGTTTGCAACAAAGATAAAGCGGATCTAGGGTTATTTTCCATTCGCTCGGCTGTTTTCTGATTTGATGCAGTTTCTTATCTACGGGGATTTCCTTTCCATGGGCGCCTGTCCTAAGAACATGGGAACAGACGGATGTTTGTTATTATCATCCAGTATGCCACGAGATGGTCTAAAGCAAAACCAGCTCAGAAAGAATGTCTATGTGAGATAACTGCCAGTATATCAGGAAGACCTGACACGTACACTAAAAGTTCATTTTTGTTTAACCTCTAACTGTTTTATGACTTCTGGAGAAATGGAAAAAAACCTTTTGCTTCACAGGTAAATTAAAAGAGACACTAGTGATACAGTTCTGGGATACTTCCAACTAAAAGGATCCAAAACATTTGTGAGTATGTTACATTATTAAAGAAACATGAATAAGAAACCAAATAAAAGATGGAAGTCTGAAATTGTTGAAAATTCAAAACAAGAGTAAAAGTGAGAAATGCTACTAGCTAACTCTATGCCACAGGCAGGGCTAACAGATACTTCGTCACACCACACATGAAAAAGCTCTCAAGCAAAGATTTCTGTGGTTTCCTTTCAATATTGTGCTATACATTGCATTACAACACAAAGCTTTCATAATAGTTATAGTTAAAAGTATATACAGTAAATACTATTTTCAGGCAAACTGTGGTAGAGGAGATATTGAATATATGCTGGAAAACCAATGAGTTAGGGACAATGAGCGCAAAATGACTAAACGTAATACCTGCTTTTAACAATTTTGCCATTTAAAGTTTTTCTATGTGAAGAAATGTGTTAAGAGTTTCTAGTAAGAAGCTAAATATATAAATATTTTAGTGGAATAAGGAGTTGCATTCTGGAATAGCAGTAGAAAATCCCATTCTCCTTAAATCAGATTCCCCACACAATGGTCCAGCTGCCTGTCACCTGTAACTAGATATATAGATATATTAATAATGCTATTTAATCCCTTTGGGTTTTGTTATTTATTGATTATGAAGCTTCCATTTAATGAACGTATAGCTCTCCTCAAATATTGGCATTGTCTGAATCAGCAACCATTTGGGATTTTGCCTCTGTGTTGTAAAACCAGGACGCAGGAAGACTCAGAAGGGAGCACTGGAGTTTATGTAGCTCTTTGATTTGCCCCTGTAGAAAAGGGTGTCATTCTCTGTTTGCATATCCCATCCACGAGGCCCACCATATGACCCCATGTCAGCCCATCTGTGCCTGCATTGCCGTGACACCTAGGCTGGGTGCAAGTGTGGACCAAAGCAAGGGTGAGAAACAGAGCTGCAGACAGTGGGAGTGCAACCGTGCTGGGCTTAAACCCTTTCACTGAGGAGGTCTGGCTTGGTAACTGGACTAGCTGGTTAAAAAGAGGGACTGTATGGCCATATTATCCCATATGCTGAAGAGGCACAAATTTGATAAAAAAAACCTAGCAGAAACACTGGCCTCATTCTCCTCTTTCCTCCCTTCATACAGAAAGTGACTATTTTTAGATCAATTATTACTTCTGGAATGTTTGGGAATTTCACTTCTTCCGCTTTCTGCCTGTTATTTCTGATTTTTGGTACATCCCTGTCTTTGCATGAGAGAATGAGAGATAGCAAACTTCTCCCAATCCTTTTAGCAGAGGGAAAAGCTGTGAGAAGAAAATGACAGCTGTGACTCTTCTGGGCTGCTACCTCCATTCCCACGGAGGTTTACGTGGGCCATGGGTACCCGCGGGAGAATTGCACCGCCAGAGACCAGTGTCCTGCGGGTGCACTGAGTCTGGCACAAGCTGACTCAAAGGGGTGGGAGCAGCTGGGTGCTTTCCCTTCTTCAGGCCCTAAAAGTGCTTGAGTGCCCACCCCTGGCTACCAAAACCTAAAGCCTGGTACTTAGTGCACCTAGGATAAAGGTGTGAACATAATTGATGTTTGTACATCAAAATTAGCAAAGTAGAATATTTTCTCAGACTGACTTTTTAGTTTTGTGGTAACTCAGATTTGCTAGAAAGCGAACACAAGATGATCTAAGATGTCTAAAAACATCACTTGAGAGCTGACCCTTTTAGGATGAGTTATTGCAGCCTGCTCAAAAGAAGACATGCTAAAATTCAGTACAAGTGCTTCCAAACCACTGAGCAAGCATCACACCTATCACCACTTGAACAATCCCACATAATCAGATGTGGCTCTTCCTATTACCCACTTGGTTTGCATTCTATCCACAGACCTCAATGTTGAAAAGCAATTTCAACAGGTACAGTTACATTGCAAATTTTTTACAGGTATAAAGGTGTTTTTCTGCTAAATTTGTGGTTATTTCTCCTACTCATAATTCCCTTCTTCAAGGCAAGATAGTATAAGTATTACCTACATGAGGTAATGCTCATGAAGGACCATTTTCTTCTGCATAGTGAGTGAGTGCCAACATTAAATGGTGCAAAATGTTTTTTAAATGCTGTCATTAACATAATTGCTCTAAAATCTACTTTGCCCTGGTTTATGTAAATGCGGAAGGCAGAGGAGACTAGTAACTCTTGCTTCCAGTACCTATGCTAAATCTGACTACCTTCAAGACAACCTGTAAAAACTTTCAAGACTACATTTACCACAGCTGCACAAATATGCAGAGAACAGGGAGCTTTTCCCAGACAACTGTGGTGAGTGCGCCATTGACTCCAGCAACGTTCGCTTGTTCTGTGCCCTGCCTTTCCAGTCTTTGTAGCCCTGGTGGTGACCTGTCATTTATGACTTCAGGGATGACTTCTGGGCTGGCTGTGCATGGGGAAGTTTGGAGGCTCTGCTGCTCTTTGCCCCTTGGCCACGGTGAGGAGGGCTGGAACTGACTGTGGCCACCGGCTTTTTCATGGCTGCCTTGCAAATTGCCTTGGATCTCAGTGAAACCGATAAGGAGTAGGTGAAAAATTCCTCCTTGTTTTTAAAATACACTTGCCATATTGGGTAAAACTATATTTTAATGTAAGACAGGAACTCTGAACAGAAGAAACTGCATAGCT